TGTCACATCTTGCTGGGTGGCCCACTGGAAAACCTCACTATTCCTGTTGTTAGTGCAAAAGTTAAAGGTTTTATAAAAGTATGCAAAGTTTCCTCAAACTAGCTGACCTTATCAACCCAGCTTGACAGAAAGCACAAACCACAAAAACACAAACTGTACTTAACAAAAGCTACTATCTATTAGAAATAAACAAATTCTAGCTGCAGGTAAATGCTTATAAAATGTTCACATATAATTACTAATTAAAACTCTGACCCCTATAGAAAACATCCCCCACACTCACATGCAGACAGACCCATAAACAATGGATGTTATGCCTGGAGGGAACTGCTGGCAAGGCAGTGCAGTGGTCCCTGTCCACACGGTTCACGAAGACGATTCTGTTCACTTGTTAGGCCATGCTGTTCCTTGGTCTCCCTTCTGCAGGTACTTTCACTTGCTTGAAGAAGGCACAGAGCGACTGGTCCACGACTTATAAAGCCTCTACCTTGTTGGGTAAAAAACCACAGCTTGCAGCAATTGGTGAGGGAAAATAAATCGACTTTTGTCAAGCTCTAGGTATCTTTAACTACAGAAAGACAGACACCACTTCCCATTCCGGAGGTCCATAGGCTTCTGGCTATACAATCCACACCCATAAGCTGTTGAGCTACCTGAGAGCTAATCACATAGTTGTTGGCAGACAGGAGGCCTTTGTCATTGACAACTGCTCACCAGTCCACAGACCGATCAGCTACCTATTGCCACCTTATACACACCTGCTGATGTCAATTTGTAATTAAACTTAAAAACAAAATCCCAGGCCAGGTCAGTTCTGTGCATTTTGGAAGCCCCAAAAAAACCTGACTCACATTTTGCAAGATCATGAGGACAATCACTGCCAAGTGTGAAAATAGATGAAAAGTTGTTTTACAGCAATTTGATTGATTTAAATGGTAATTGTTAAATATTGATACCTATACATAACACTGGGAAGTGTGCATAAAAAATTTCAGAATAACTGAAGTATGACAGACAAGGAAGTACATGCTGCATACAAAAGCTTTCCATGGATGTATAGCGGTGACTCATCTAGCGGGCAGAATGCAAGCACATCGAGTGTGACCTGCAATATTAATTGAGCCTTGCCAACTTTACTTCACACTATGTAATCATTGGCCTGAGACTGTCTATATAGAGTAGCTGCAGCCTTAGCATAACTTATGTTGTGTTAAATCACTGCAATTTACATATAATCCAACTACTTATTAAGAAATGTCATAAACAATCAAGTACTGAAACAGTAATTCAAACTTCATTGCATGTAGCAACTAAATATAAGACCCCTCAAGTAAGCAAGTATAAGCCTGCAACTCAACTTGGTTATTACCCAATTAATGGTGAAATCTGGCCAGAAATTTAACCTATGGTGGTCTGTCTCCGGAAGTTTCCAGGGTTTGGTCCTTCTGTAGTGTTGTTTTGGAAGTTCTGCTGTTGTTGTAGAGTTCGATCCCTGTACAGATTTTTGTCCTTTGGTCCCTGATGTGATATATTGATGATTGTTTAAAAGTCCTTCCATCCAAATTATTACAATCTGCAGCTTGTCAAAAGTAATTTCTTTGTATCTTGTTACATTTGGCCTTAACTGTCTGTTTGAAGACACAGCTTCCCTGTGATTAACTCCTTAATTCATCGTAGGACATGGCATAAAGCATCCAGTTTATCAAGCAGGTGTCAAAGCAGTTTTGTCTATGGAACCTCCACTCCCAGATGTGGCTAACTTCTTTCACTTCCTGTATAAGCTTGTCCTTGTCCTTTAATAGTTTATTCCAGACAAAGTTAATACTGATTCTTTCCATGTGTAACAGTTTATCTTCGTTGATTCATTCATTCCATGAACAGTTATTAAAGTTCTGAAGTCTATAATATCACACTTGGGAGCAATTAAATCCAGCTTGAGTAGTGTACAAATTACAGTTCTGTCTTTATCACTGCTTCCATGATCCACGCACACTTTCATCAAAACCTGACATATAGGAAGCACTAATTATCTTAGCAAACATTGTAATTTCTGTTTTGCAATTTTATCCTTTTGGTAAATAGTCATTTTCAATTATTTTGGCTAAACATCACTTAATCTTTTTTGACGGCCTGTTTATTACAGCGAAAGTAGTAAATAGACATTTCAGAATGTGAAATAGCTGTATTTTTACTTGTGTGCAGCTACAGAGATTAATAAATAGAAAGTGAGTGGAGCAGGTGGAGAAAGCTGCATGAATAGCTGGCTGTGTAGCTCATGGAGGTGTCATGGGTTAAGTCTTCAGTAAGTCAATGGCATAGACTTTTTCTAACCATGCTCCTCAGATACCAGCTCTTAGGACTACAGCAACTGCAGCATAGACTTCATTGTTCTCAAAAATATGTTGAACTTGATGCGACCTTTTGATGTATAATACAACATTGAGGACCCCATGTGGATTTAATGATTTTGTTATTACTAACTGACTTAGCTTAGTTCTTCTTGTGAGTGTTTTCGTCAAGTCTGGATAATGTGTAGGTAATTGCTTTATTTATAATTGTTTCATAGAATCCCTACAGTGTAGAAGCAGGCCGTTTGGCCCATCAAGCCCACACCAGTGCTCCAAAGAGCATCCCACCCAGACCCACCCCCTGCTTTACCCTAGACGTTATGGGCAATTTAGCATGCCCAATCCACTTTGGACTGTGTGAGGAAACCCCATGCAGACACGGGGAGAATGTGCAAACTCCACACAGACAGTCGCCCAAGGCTGGAATCAAACCTGGGTTCCTGGTGCTGTGAGGCAGCTATGCTAACCACTGAGCCACCGTGCTGCCCATTCAACAGTGTTCTCTATTCTTTTGACTCGTATGCTGTTAAATGTTGCCTTGGTGCAATGACTATCATATAAGCCTCAGTAATGGTGGTTGCAGTCTGTTTATTTGGCCATAGGACAGTGAACATGTGGGCCCAAATATTCTGATCAGGTAAGGGGGAAAGTTTAAAGGAGATGTGCAAGGAAAAAGTTTTACACAGAGGGTGGTAGGTGCCTGGAACACGCTGCCAGGAGGGATGATAGAAGCAAGTACAATTGCAGTGTTTAAGAGGCAGTAAGACAGACACATGAACAGGTTGAGAATAGAGGGATATGGACCATGTACAGGCAGGTGGGAGTAGGTTAGAATAGCACCATCGTCGGCACAGACATGATGGGCCGAAGGGTCTGTTCCTGCGCTGTACTGTTCCGTGTTCTGTGGAATGGGAACAGATTTCCAATCCTAATCAGCCAAAAAAATAAAATCCACACTATCGTTCTGAAGAAATATCACTGTGGTCTCTGAGTGAGGAACCTTCTCAGGTGAAGCAGTTTTAGTCCAGGCTAGGAATTCATACGGCTGGTAGCAAAGTGGATCAGTGTTGCAACCAGTGTCTCTTTTTCAACATTCCGTCATCTTCCAGGTTTCAAAGGTTTTGAAACAACTATCACACCTACTGAGGGAAAGTAGGCATGTGAGATCAGTGAGGGGTAAGAGTGCCAGCTGGGCAAAGGGTTTAGGATACCAGTTGGGTGAAGGGGCTTAGGTGACAAGTGGGTGAGGGTTTAGGTGAGAGGTGGGTAAGAAGCTGATGTAGCAGGTGGCTGGGGAGTGAGGTGGCAGGCGGTTGAGGGGTAGGATAGAGTTCCAAGTGGACAGTCAGTATGATGGCAGGTAAATGGATCTGTATTTGGATAGGTTGGTGGGGAGGTCAGGTTGAGAGGGGTGGAATTTTGACTTTTTTGGGACTGATCTGGTTGGAGTTCTGGCCGGGAGGAGGTCTTAGGTATTGGGAGGCACTGGGGGAGGTTGGGTCAGGTGAGATTGGGTGTGTTGGCATTGGGTATGTTGGGAGATGGAATGGGTTGGTATTGGGGAGATGCTGTAGGGTGTATGGAAGGCCGTTATAGGGAACCATATCCTGGGGGTGGAGCATGGATTTTAGATTGGGGTTTGGCAGGGAGTTGTTGGATCTGTGGAGGAGTTAGGTGGGTATGAAAGCCTGGGAATTCATGGTCAGGTTAAGTGCAGTGGGAGTCATCAGTTTTGCGTTGGAATGAAAGAGTCGGTGGTTAGATTGAATGTGGTGGGAAGGATTGGGCCTTGGTTTGGAGGGGGGTGGTGGTGCAGTGATTTAGGGGCATTGATTTAACAGTTATACAGGGGAAGAGACCAGAACCTGGATCCCTGGCCCTACCTGCAACTCCTGACCCGAGCACAGCAACCCCCTCCTCCCGACCCGAGCACAGCAGCCCCCTCCTCCCGACCCGAACACAGCAGCCCCCTCCTCCTGACTTGAGCACAGCAGCCCCGTCCTCCCAGCCCGAACACAGCAGCCCCCTCCTCCTGACCCGAGCACAGCAGCCCCCTCCTCCCGACCCGAACACAGCAGCCC